ATGCTTGGAAAAAAAAAGAAGATGAACAGGAAAAAAATCAAAGCATAGAACAAGTCTGGAAACAAATTGGAAAAAAAAAAAGAAAAAGAAAAGAAAAAGTCAATAGTGCTTCGGGGGTAAAAAGATGAACAAGAAAAAAAAATTAATGCATCCGTTGGGAGAGTCAAACCTAGGTCTATTATGTGGAAGACAATTGTTCTAATCATTGGACTATAAATGCTTTCTTGTGCTTGAATTACAAAATACATACATATGTATGTATGTATGTATGTATGTATAAAGAGGTAAACAAGGTTGTGAACCGTCGAACCTCATTTCTTTTAGAGTCTTTGTAATATTTAATTTTCAAATAATCTATAAAATATAGTAGAATTATTCTACATTATTTTTCTTCCAAAAAGAATTTAATTATAATGTATTCATTTTACTTAGAAAATAATCAATATATATTAAACCATTAAATCTTGATTTAATGTCATTATTTTTATAAAAATCCCACATTCTAGAAATCTATTAAATTAATTCAAATAAGTACTTAATAAATTCATCTAGACCTTTAATTAGAGTTTTGACCATTCAAAATATTTTTTGGACTTATGGAACTTTGGTTCCAAATTTATTTAAACGAGCCTATTGATCTTGTCCATTAAATTCATTTATTCATTAACCATTAAATTCCATTTAATGCCTTAACCTTTGTAATTATTATTATTATTATTGTTTGCCTTACCATTTTAATTCCATACTCTTTACCAATAAAACTTTAGCTTCTAAACCAATTAGTCATTCAATTAATACTTCCATTTAACTATTAATTAATCCTTTTATTTAGTCTATTAACTCATTTAAATCAATCAAACTAATTAGGTCACCAATTAATTGTTCAAGTTACCTAATTGGTTAATGCATAACATAACATTACCGTTAACCATCCAAACATATTATTCATTATTACAAACCAACACTTGCTTTAACCTAACATCCATTCACATGTCCAAAAATTAGGTTAAGCAAGAGAAAATTTTCCTCACTTATTTTACATAAGAAGCACACGATACGACAAGTCAATCCTCTTCCTCAATGATGGTTATTTTGTAACCTTTTATCACCTACACCACAAGAAACTAGGTGAGAGTTGCTTAGTAAGTATACCCTATGCAATGCATGTAATGCTCGTGATGTATTTAAAAATCATTTTTATGCCTTTTGAAAATCTTTTTCCTCGTCGGGTGCACTCTGTCAATTATGTATATAGTTGGTTCTCTTTTCAAATATGCAATTTGTGAAAAACTCACAAAAGCACTAAACACCTTCCCTTTTTCTCATTCTTTCCGTTCGTAAAGAACAATATAAATGGCATTCCTCATTCTTCTCTTTTGGAAAGAATCATTTTCCTTTTCCTTTTCTCTTTCCTATCACTCTTCCCGCATAATAATGTCATTTTCTTTTCCTTTTCCTCTTGAAGGTGCATAGCCATTTCTTTTTGAAAACATGTAATTTTCCTTTTTTTATAAAAACCATTAAGTAAAATCCTTTTCATGATTATGATATGCAAATACATTAAATGAAAAACGCATTCCTTTACCTTTCCTTTACCCTTTCCTCTATCAAGCATGCTTAACATATCAAGTACATGTAAATAAATTTTTGAACATATCATGTACTAATAATTAACAAAGTAGGCATAAAATAATGGATGGACCATAAACATCAACAATTCCTTAAAAACACATTATGGTTAAAATATTCAAGCGAGTTCAACCAAAATATTTTCAACATATAATTAACCATTTTTCATGCCATTTCATGCTTTTAAACCTTAAAAACATCATCAAACATCGATCAAACACTTTTTTCTCTTTTTCTTAGTATTAGGCCGACACTTGGCCAATGGAAGACTAGCTTCCATTTGATCATCTTGACTCAAATTTTTATATCTATACCATTCACTAAGCATTTATTCATTCAACTATACAACAATTAAATCAATCAAAAAAATTAATCAAATTCTTTAGTTCGGCCAAAATTACCCATCTAAATAGCCAAATCTGAATTTTCCAATCTAACACCACAAAACACACATAATTCATTCCACAAACACCTTGTATGCATGAATCACTTAGACCATGATTTTCTCTAAAAATTAGGGTTTGGATCAGAAATTTTGATGAACATAACACCATCAAAATTTCATTCAATCAAGTCAACCAAACTCCTAACATATCAATCACAATACCAAAAACACAATTCTTGCATCAAATCCATCTAAATCAAACAATCTCACAATAACTCCATCAATTAAACCATCAAACCATAATCAATAAAACTTCAAACCATCATCAAATAAATATCAAATCATAAGTTCCTTGTGGTGTAGTGAGGATTACACTTACCTCACTTGAAGTTTGATCAATGCTCTTCCTTTTTCTCCTTGGATTTCTCCCTCCTCTTTTCCTCCAAACTTTTGGCCCAAATCTCCATTTTCCTCCTTTTTTTGTTTGACCTTTCAAGATAATTCTAAGGTGTCTTTAGGGTGTATCTAGGATATTTTAGATGGTTTTGGGTGGTAGTTTGGTGTAATTCTTCTTGGAGGAGCTTGAATTTTCCTTAGTGTTTTTTGAATTTTTCAAGTTTCTAACCTCTCTTCCATCTTCTTTTTCCATATTTATAGCCAAAGGTTTTCATTAAGATTAAGCCAAGTGCATCACACTTGGTTTGATCTTAAATCGACAATTAATGGCTTTTATAGATTTTTCTTCATTTTTCTCCTTTCTTCCTCCTTTTTCCTTAGATTTTTAGGTTGATTTTTCTCTTTCTTTCTTCCCTCTCTTTGCCAACTTTGAAAGATATTTTTTTGCCTCGATTTCCAGCATAGAAGTTGCTGGAATTACCTTCTCAAAATCAATTAAATAATGCCCCAAAACATTAACACTTTACACGTTAGTTCCTAAACTTTTAATTCTTAAAATTGACCCCTCCAATTTCATTCTGTAACTTCACAATTTCTCATAATCTAGCCTTTTTCCTAGAGCTTTCCTATAGTGATTGTGGTCTCCAAAGTTTCCTAATTATTTTATTTAAGGACCCAAACTTTTAATTGTTTCAATTATACCCATAACCAGAATAATTAATATTATAACCCTCTAATTCACACTTTAATTAACTTCTTTATCCTCTAATTAATTCATTTATCTTTCATAATAATTATATTTACATTAATTTTATTCTTATCCATGCATAACTTTCAATCCTTATTTTAAATAAATATTCATACATTAATTAAATGAATAATCCTTGCAAACATAATTATTGTAATCCTCTAATTCACACTTTAATTAATTCATTCATTTTCAATTTATTTCATTTACCCTCCATAATAATTATGATTGCATTAAATTATTCTTTATTCAAGCATAATTTATCAATCCTTATTTTAAATAGATATTCATCTATTAATTAAATAAATTTTTCTTACAAACATAATTACTTTTAAAGAGGTTTTTAGGTTAAGGATATTATCTCTATTGACTTTAACCATAGACTATGTGATGCTCCAGATGATTTTACGATGGATAGAGGTTCTTGTCATAGACTTGTTAGGAAGTTAATTTATTTGGCACATACAAGACCAAACATTGCATATGCTGTGAGTATTGTTAGCCAATTTATGCACAATCCTAAAGAGATACATCTGAAAGCAGTCATCGAGTTTTACAATACTTGAAAGGGAGTCAGGAAAGGAATTTTGTTCAAAAAAAGGAGAGTATGATATTGGAAACCTACACTGACACTGATTATGCTAGTTCATTGGTAGACAGGAAATCAATCTCAGGTTATTGTACTCTTTTAGACGGTAACCTTGTGACATGGAGGAGTAAAAACCAAAATGCCATGGCTAGATCAATTACAAAGTATGAGTTCAAGTCGATGACATTGGGAATATGCGAGCAAATATGGTTAAAATAGTTGATGATCTGTAGATAAAATGAGAAGGTCCAATCAGGTTGTACTGTGACAATAAATCGACAATCAATATCACACATAATCCTGTACAATATGATAAAATAAAACACATTGAGATTGATAGACATTTTATTAAAAAGAAACTCGGCAACAGCCTAATATACACTCTATTTGTTTCAACAGAAGATGAACTAGCAGACATATTTACGAAGGGTCTGCCAAATACTATGTTTTGAGACATTGTTGGCAAGCTTGGGATGGAATATTTCCATTTACCAGCTTGAAAGGGAGTGTCAAATAATGTGGCTTTATTAGGAAAATTGAAAGGATTTGATGTAATCTCTGATTGTTAGAGATTTTGATTCGCTGTATATACCAATTAGAGAATTGTCTATTATAGAAATTTAGTTAATACATTTGGGTGCTCAGCCATGTACATATATTCTCATGGATGTAGAACATCACAATTAAGAAGAATTATTCCAAAAGTCATAATTTGTGACATTAGCAAAAACACAAAACTTGCGTATGTAAAGAAAGAAAAAACATAGTATTGCACATACCAGCTCAAAATTGTATTCTTTTTCCCCTTATTTTCATCTTTTCCTTTTCTAACATGCTCTAAAAAATAATAATAAAAAAAAAAAAGGAAAAACATGCTCACTATACTCGCACAGCTCTTTGCAGCCAGCACCTGGGTCCAGGAAACTGGAATGTCGTAACAACGAACCACAGCAAAAACACAAACTGGGAGGACTTTGCCTGCCCAAAATATCTCGGAAGTGAAATCAGCGCATAAAACTGACCTCATTGTTCAACCTGGTAGCTCTAACGGGGGGTGGGGTGGGGTGTGTGTTTGTTGGGGGGATGGATTCTGATATAAAACTGACTTCATTGTTCAACCTGGTAGCTCTAACTGAGGGGGATTCTAATTACATACCATTGCAATCGACAGAAATATAGCCAAATCCTCTTTACTACTGTTACCGGTTCTCTAGTTTTCTTTTTCAACTGGACTGGTCTAGCTGTACTGACAGCTACCCCACTGTGTGCTGCTTGCAAACTTTTGGTCCAAAATGCTGAGAACTGCGCCTCACAATCTTTCTGCACAAGTAGCAATAGTGCATTTGGCATGACCAGCAAAGAATGTGATTATTATTGCCAACCTGTGACGATGTCAAAAGAGCAGAAAATGAAGAACCTATCAGGCAGCTGATGCACAATGTTTTTTAGTATTTCATAGCCAAAATAATAATAATAAGAAGAAGAAGAAATGGGAGATTTGATCATAGGGTTCCAGAAGAATCAGGATTATCTCCTTAACTTTTATAAGCAAAGAAATGAAACCAAGATTATTGAAGATTTAAACAGATTTTACCAGCACTAACTCCGCATCGTATGTCATGGCTTCATTTGATAACAGTCAAAATGAACATGACTTGAAATTGACGTGAAAGATGGCCCATAAGATAAGCATTTTATTTTTTCATTCTGGAAAAATATTACTTTTAATACCAGAAGTTACATATAATTCATTTGTGTCCCCATGCAAAGTGAATGCTTGCAATAAAGAAAATTGAAGACAGTCAATTGTAAAGTTCCCATGTGTAAATGATCAACCCATTCCTGTCACAAATTGAGTACGATTCAGTTATCCTTTCTAGTTTCAGGTCTAAACTTTCTTCTTCTTCTTTTTAAAAAAAGATGCAATAGCAACAAAATAATAGGATGAACTAGAATATTTATGAAAGTTTAGGGCTAAAAAATTGTGGTGCATTTTGAATAGGACACAGCCTACAAGGCAAGAACACACAAAAGCACCTGGGTATCAGGCAGATAAAAGAAAGAATGATAGATCTAACAAGAATTTAGAATTTCAGGATACTTAAAAGCATCTAACATCTGATGCTGATCTACAGAAAGACCAATCATCACTCACCTTCGCATTGAATTGACCACAATTCGGACATGTATGCACAAGACCCGGAAAAAGTTCAGCATGAACCTCAGCCAAAGCCCGGCGGGGATTCATCCTCTCCTCCCATTGTTGTATCTCTTCTTGTGGGAACAGTTCACACTGTCCATCCCTTCAATAATTGCGAAAGTTATTATCTAAATCTGAAAAATGCAAGATCATGACAAACAACAAAATATGGTCTTAAAACGTTTTCAATGAGTCACTCACTTAAAATGGTCGTATCCATCAATCTCTTTGTTACAACGGTAGCAGAAGAACTGCCCACAGTTTTTACACACCATCTTGTTACAACCTTCAGTTCTTGAGATTGCCATCTTACAAGATGGGCATTGCTTAGCATCGCGAAGTATTTCCTTGACACTAAGAAGTTCATTGATCATCTCATGCTCCTTGCGCTTTTGTCCATCTTTGAGGTGAGATGAATTTTGACGCTCCTGTAGGCCAAAATTAAAGATCATTGAAAGAAAAATTTCATGACAAGTAATGACTGGTATAACGAAAATTCTTTAATGAATTCAACATGAATACATGCATAAAATAAATGACCAAAAAGTTGCATTAAATTACCATCATAACATTATTTGTACTCATGTTGAATTCGTTATACCAATCATTACTCTTTCATGACTGGTAAGGAAAACATCATACTATGTAAGAATTATTTTTCCAACGTACCACAAAACATTGTGAGAAAATGTAACATAAGTAGTGAAAATCTGAAAAGCAGACTGACATGAAATTATAGAAACATTTGATTGATAGAGAATTTGTTCTGGTACCACAAGCAACATCATAGGAGCTATAATAAAAACAGAAGAAGGGGTGCATAACCAAGCAAGACTTCTGGATTATCATATCATTATTTAGTTTTATTTTATCGATCAGAATTTTAGTTGCTTTCCTAGTAAAACAGATCTAATTGGGATCTTATTCAATGTCCTATATGAGTTGAAATTTGGTTTCCTTATTTAGATATTCCAATTCTCAACATTCTAGGGTTTTTGCTAGAGTACTCACTGTAATACAAGGGCACCTGATTCGATTCCTTATTCTAAGGATTATAGTTCCAATTATTGATGATTAACAAACTAATGAGTACTGAGACACTTTACTTCTATTTTCGCTGTTCTTCTTGTTTTCCTCCCCATTCTATAAAATGATCAAGGACTGGTATTGCATATTGAAAAAAGTTATTGTTAGTCAACATATTTTGCCTTGTTTCCCCTTTCTCTTTTTCTATTTTCTCCTCTTTGCTTTATCTTCTCACCAAGTACTTCTACCCATCTTGCTTGAACAGGGGCAAGGAAATTATTGAAGTCCTCCAAAGCTAAAATATCATTCTTGAGCAGATCAATGCGCCAAATCCACATGTGAATTCATATCACTGTCCAGTTAAAGGGATGACATGGGAAGGTAAAATTTAAAGCAGAAACTGACTGTATATAAGGGAAATCACTATGTCAGACCCCATATTGTGGTGTTGTCTCAGTTACAAGAAAATCGCTTGAAGATGATGCATTATGATCTGGCACTTTTTTTATGAATTGCAGAACAAAATTGTTCAGAATGTACTCTGGTTGTTCACTATCATCAACTCAAAACAAGCTCTCTCTAGTTTAAGATTTGACTTTGTGACAGGCTTGGCTCGCATGCCCAGAATTCAGATCAAGGTGGACGTTGTGGTAAATGGTAAAGTTGACGGCCAGTGGAAAGTAGAAAAATATTCTATAACATGATCCTTACAATCTACCGTGGAGGCAAACCCCACTTCTCTAAAACCCTGGTGCAGTGTTGATCACAGGGGTGATTAGAAGACCTGCTGCCAATTCTTTTGAGAATCCTGATAGGAGGAAAGATGGGAAGATCTTGTGGAGATGTCGTATTGTAGTTGTTTAATGTGCCAGGATGGAGAGGATTATATAATCTTTAAGGACCACTCTACTTGGAGGTAAGTAGGTAACTACTGTGAGATAAGACAGTATTTCTATCCTCTTTATGGTCTAATATTTCAGGAGCTTTAAGTATGGGTGTTTTCAGAAAAACTACTTAGAAAGCACAATTGCTTTGATTTTGTTTTATTTTCTTCCGGTAGGATGCCCTATTCTAATTTTTGTGCTTGTGACCTTTCTAACAAAGGTGACTCTAAAACTAAATACTATCGATGAGAACACAAACTTTACCTCTAAGATTTGAAGCTTCATTTTGGGTGTCATACAAGCTTCGCCTAAATGGCGTCTCTCCCTGCAAAGTGAGCAAAAGCTATAGAAGCACTTGGAGCATTGTGCATGCTGTTCTTCATCTTCTATGCAGGGCGTTTCACATCTTGGGCAATAAGCAATATCAGACATGGAGTCCAGTGTTTTCTGCAACATCAAGGACTCCCATCGTTCATATTCTTCATCACCGAGTAACCGTTTCAATAAAACAGGTGGGACCATACCCCCACATTTTGCTTCTGGACATTGAAGCTTATTCACAGTACCTTCTGCAACATGTATGTCAGAATATGTCTTCATGCATTTCGAGCAGAAGAAATGCTGGCATGGTAGCCTGATGAAGTCACTGCCTGGTTAGATAAATAAAAAGAAGGTTATTTGCGATAGAAGAGCATAAAACAACAAATATGATGTTCTTTCTAATAGTATTGAGAAATATTACATTGAAAGTTGTAAGAGGAAGGACTCCCAATGCCTTGACAATTATTGTACATGGAAATACTATGCATTATCAAATTTCAAATTACAGTCATATGCACATATTTGAAGCTTAACTTTAGTATTAAAAAACAAACTGGACTGATGGAGGTCAGATATTTCAATCCCAAAAGCCTAAAACGGTCATAAATAGACATAGGCCAGCCATAACAAACAATTTAAACTGAATTATGCTGTTTATATCATTAAAAGCAGATTAAAGTATGTTTAGGAAAAGATTGAAAATTGCCTGTATACTCATCACAACAGATGCAGCATTCATGCAAGGTTTTGCAGAAGTTCTCATGGCATTGCTCATCATTGTAACTTCTCAGTGAAGGAACATCAACCTCCAGGGAGACACTTCCTGAAATTGCACGCTTGTCTCCAATATGTTTGGTGCCATAAGGACCAAGCATGATCTCTTTATCAATCCCGAGATAAGAAAGGGTAGAATTCTGTAGCCAATCAGCCCATTGATATATAACCTCCAGCCCTGGTTGCTGTGTCCATATCGAGTCCAACCTCGAGCAGAGATTGGAAATACGAGTAGAATCCAACCACTGAACCGAGATGGTAAAATAAGGAGGTAGGTGGCTTGGATAGGATTTAGGTAAAAAGCAGGTCAACACTATCGGTGGAAGATACTGGACTTTGAATGAGTATGAAAACTCCTCTGAACCATCACTTTTCCCACTACGATCTCCAGATGAATTAAGCTTTGCAGTTACAGTAAGTTCAGCGGGAATTTCAATGTGAATTTGAATCTGCAGAATAATAAACAGGTGTTGAATTATTAACTTCATTAGAACATGACAAGAAGCTTTAAAATTATAAGGTTAGTGAAGTAACCTGAAAAGATCTTAGGTCTTTTTGTCTGTCAAGAATGAAGGTATTCTCTCCATAAATCGATTGCATCGCAAGCAACTGAAAAAAAAAAAAAAAAAAAAAAAAAAAGAGTAAAAGATGAGAAAAAGAAAAAGATGCAGTAAAGATTTCTTACCTTCATTTAACCACGAAAAAAGAATTAACGACAACTTTAAAGACCTCGATTTTCTTTATGCTTCCAAAAATTATTTATTTATTTATTTCTTTTCAGAAATATGTGTTTTCATACTCTTTTGCTTTTGCAGTTCAATGGAAACAAAGTTCTGTAACTGTAAAAAGCTCAATGGCAAATGCTAATGGAAGTAAGATAAAGGTATTAAACAACAAACATCAAACTTCGTTGAATTTCTACACAAATTCTAGTCTAAAAAAAATAAAAAACCTTAACATGTCAAATTTCACAAAAATCCACCATCACAAATTGAACTTTCAGAAATGAACAATTTTATGCACTTCGAATTAATGCCCAATATAAATATTGTAAATGAATTTCAACAAAAATATTCCCTAAACATAGCATAACTCAACAAACCCAAAGTCTTTCAAATTACCTCATCCTCCTGTAGCTGATCGTTGATCCTCAGCTGCTCCTCGGATACTTCTGGCTCCTTCACCCCCAAAATTTTTTTTTCCAATCTACTTACAACACCATCAACTCCATTTCCATTCTCTGGTTCACTCTCTTCTCTTTTCCCTTCAATCTCCTCTTTCTTTGTTTTAACATCCTTTTCCTTGTTTTCATTCACTTTTTCACCAAAACTTGAAGAACCCACTTCAGTACTTGAAGAGGGTGGGTCAGAATTTGAGGGTCCGTGCTCGGATTTCTTGACATACTGTTGTTGTGAAGAAGTTGATGGTACAGATGATGATTCACGATTAGATTCTTCTTTTTGTTGGTGTTGGGGTTGATCGTGAAGTGGTTTAACAATCCAGGATTCGTTGATATGGTGGTTGTGTTTCTTGCCCCCTCTTCTGGTCTTTCTCATGGCGAATTTGTACAGGGAGGAGTGAAAATTTCAGGGTTAGAGAATAAAAGAAAATTTTTTACATCCTGCGGATTTTGGCAACGTAATATGGAGAAATTCTATAATAAACGGAATAAGAGTAACTAATCATATGTATAGTAATTATTTTATAAATCTATTTAGAGAAGATAAATAGTTATATAAAATTATATTTGAATTCATAAAAAAGGATAAAAAGATTTTTATATTTGTTTAATTTTTTTTTAATTTTTTTTATGTGTCAATCTCTCTTTCTAAGTGAATTTATAAAATAACTATTGTATATGTTACTAGTTACTTCTTATGTATTATAAAATTTCTCATGTAATATATATGTATATATAGGTTTTCTTTTTTACCAACTAAAAAGCATCCCCATGAGCATGGTTCAAGCAGGCTTACATGCCACTGTTTAAAAAAAAAAAAATTGTTGAGATGGCACGGCACTACAGTTGAAAAAAGTTTTGAGTAAATTATAAATTAATCCTTCTCATTTCCATAAGTGAATTAATTAGTCTCTTTTGTTTTAAAAATTAATTATTTAATCATTTATGTTTTAATTTTAGGGATAATTATAAGAAAAAACTTTTAAAAAATCTTTTATAAAAAAAACTTATCAATTTATTTTTAAATCTCTCAAACTCAAAGCAATATTTTCCTTACCAAAACATATACTATTGCTTTGTGGTAATTAACTAGTGTTAACAATTTAGTGTTTTAGTAAGAAAAGTATTGCTTTTCGTTTGGAATATTTAAAAAAGTTCTTTGATGAGAAAAATATTTTTTTATGTTTGGGAGATTTAAAAATAAATTGATAAATTTTTTATATAGAAGAATTTTTTAGAGGATTTTATGGTAATTATCCTTAGTTTAAATAAAATTATTATCTTCCAAGATATGTATTTTTATTATAAATGACCACTAGAAGTTTACCTTCAAGCATACAAAACTAGTAAAATTAATTTAAAAAATTATTATAATTTGATAGCATACGGTATGTCACGAATGTACTAAAATATATTGAATTGAAATAAACAAAATTATCTAATTTTATATTTTTAATCAAATTTTTTGTATTTTATTTATTTTTTTAATATCTTTCATATTATTTGTTATTAAAAAACACGATTTGTTTTTCGTTATTCATCAATTCTTCAATAAAAACCTATGATAATGTAAATTAGAAAATAAAAATATCTTAATATTTGTTTTCATAAGATTGCATCAAATAAAAAAAAAACCAACAATCAATATAAAAACATGTATGCAAATTAACAAATGATTTTTTTTTTTTTATGTTTATGAAACCTAAATTAGGAAACTAATTTCTATTTTAAAAAACTCGATTTCCATTTTAAAAAACTCGATTTTCAAATTAAAAAATTGATTTCTATTTTAGAAAACTAATTTTCGGATTAGGAAACTAATTTTTATTTTAAGAAACCGATTTCTAATTTAGAAAACTTTTTCCAAATTCTTTGCTTCTCTTTATCCGTGTCTATGTTAAGCTTATGCTTGTGACTCAAATGGATTTTAGATATGTTGGCAATGTATCATAAGTAAAAGACACTTCTTTTATATCTTGATATATAAATCAAGATTGGTCTCTACCAAGGCATCATGACTATCTAATTATCTAAAAGGATTACCTAATCCATAATAACCTTTAATGAATATGGCTTCCATACAATTCATTCCTTATGTCAATTTATCATAGTGTGATATCAAACTTGGCTTGTTGTCTATTCGATTATGATCACATAAGTTTTCTTTGATTTTCAAATATCTTAGCTTTCAAGTAAACCAATCATGGTCTATTAGATTCATGATGCACCCAACGAATCGTCCATATGCAGCCTATTTACTAAGTCCATAAAAAACGAATGTCAAAGTACACAAATCCTCTAATGAGATAATTGTGATAACTTTAATTTAAAGAACTACTTGTATCCATCTCATATGAGATTCTCACAATCTATAACAAATGGGTTTTCATGACGAGTCACGTTTAGTGATATATTCTCTAACATTATTCACTCGTGTGTCGGCTTGGCATTACCATATCGGTAGGTGTGAGATCTCTTACTACTATCTTATAGTAAGAGCATAGCATGCACAAGTCTTACTATATATTATCAATGTCCAATCTTGATAATGTTATGACTTTAGAATTTAATAATATCATTTAGGTGCATTAATGTTTGTCTCACATCTATTGATTAATCATCAAGGCAATCAATATCATATAGAATTCTATCTAATTCTATCAATTTATAAGTAACATGAATTAATAGAAATACTTTTTTATTAATATGAAAAATGTAATAATATAATATTTCAAATCATCTAAATAGGTTAGATCTTGGGCACCTACACTAACACCCCATAATAAATGTTTCATTCTTTCCCCCATTTCCGTAGGATCAAACTTGACTTCATCCTTTTCTCTCTCGTTTCTTTTCCTCTTCTCTAAAAACTTTTATTTCTCATCTCCTTCAATCTAACCTAGAAAGCTAAAGAAGATTAGAAGGATCTCCTCTCCTAAGTCCCCTTTTCATCATTTGAATCTACTTCGTTCGCATCCCGCCTTCTAATCAAAACTCTAGATCCTACATGTTCTTCTCTTAATCACATATCCCAACTTATTAACAACCAAACCACTACTCCTCATCTTTCCCCATTTGAGCATTATCCGGATCTCCTTCATCAAATCATTCCTTTTTTTTTCTCAAGCAAATTGAAAACTTAATTGATTTTCCTAAAATTCCTCTTTTTCTACTTCAAATCGATAAATCTAAAGTTCATTTATTTCTTGAATTGAGCCTTAAAATCTAAAATTAGATCAATTAGGTGTGTAATTCACTCTTTGAGATCCCTCAAATTCCTATCCTTACCTTTCTCTCGTTCACCCATAACCTGAGTTAGATCGACCTTAGTCCTACACTAGCTATGTCTCCTATTTTCTCTAGAAATCCAACTTAATCTCCCTCTCTTCTTAAAAAAACCTAAAACTTAAATGATTTTTATTTATCTTGTAGGTTTCCTAATATCTTAAACCCTATTTTGTGAAACTTGGTCCTATGTTCCCAATCCAAATATAAAACCTAAACCCATAACCCATTTACCCTAAAATCTAACACTTGAGTTGTCTCAATCAATCCTCACTCACCAATCATAGCTTAGGGGTATGTGAAATTAAAAAGCGTAAAAGGAAATGGTTATTATGAAATGGTAGTAAAGGGTATCACTACCGTTGATCATTCAAAATACTAGAGTTACATTAGTTTGAATGAAAGACTTGAGTTTGAAGCAATTCTTACCTTGAGTTTGAGTAGATAGTGGTAGAAGTAGAGGATATCCAATCTAGTGACAAGGTTGTTCTGGATATAGAACTATAGGAGCTTTTTTGGTGTAGCTTGTTTAGTTTCTTCTTCTTTAAACTATTTAGTAAGATTCTCTCACTCTTATGTTGCTTACTTTTAGTTCAATTTCTCTCTTAATTCATGTTCTTACTATTTCCTTTCAATTATGTTGTAGCCCAATTATCGTACCCATTCTCAATTTCTCTCATTTTTCCTTCTACCTAAACCCTAAATTTTACCCGTATTTATACCTAAGAGAGTCTCTTCACCCCGGGATCAATTCCCACTTCTTCAAAAGCCAATAAATCATCTTGCTTATCGTGTATTTTGGCTATGCTTAGACATAGCAAAATTTGCATTGTTATATGTTGTTTATGCACTAGTAAGGTTTGTTTTGCGAGTGCGAGAAAAGAGGAAGAGTTAGCAGTCTTGCCTTTTTGGCCTCGTTGTCCTCATTGATAGAGGTGAAGTAGAGCCAAAGGATGGTAGAATGCATAAACCGGAGTGTTGGATTTCGTTAGAGGAGTTCGGACGACAAGTCACTCGGATGGTCCGGGTTGGACTCGTTATTTGCATTTTGTGTTGATTTAGGTCCTTGTTATTAAAATTTTCTTCAATTGTACAATTTAGATGTATCAATATAGTCTCTATACTTATCACTTTCTTCAATTAGATCTTTAGGTCTTGTAATTGTGGTTCGAAGTTTATTATTGATTTTAGTGTATCCTTAATAGCCTTAATTTTATTTTTTTTATTCAATCACACCCCTAATTTTGTATTTTGTAATTTTTGTATTTTTGGTATTTTGATTATTTTTTTTGATTTTTGATTTGATTTTTATTTTTTTTATTTCTATAAATTCCAAAAATAAAAATAAAAATAAATAACAAATAAAACAACTAAATAAAAGAAGATAAGAAAATAAATGAGTAAAAATTTAGGAAATTTTGGATTGTGATAAAAAGATATTTGAAGTGTTGCGATATGTCATTGCACTTCAATTCAAAAGGTTTAAGATTGCAAGAAATTTTGAGATAGAGTAGGGATAGAATGAATATTTGCATTAAAGTTAGGAGGATAAGATTGAAATTTAATTTTATGAATTATTCATGATGAGTGTTGATCCCGGTATGATGTTGATTGTGTGATTATTTCAATGTAATTATGTGCAAAATGGAAAGTAAGGGAAGCAAAAAGAGGGCTAAAAAAAGGATGAGGTAACCCCTTGGATCGGCGTCAAATTAGGAATGGAGTTATTGATTCATAAACAAATTATGGTGTCATCATTGGTTTTTTTTTTCCGCTAATGAATTTCAAGTGCATAATGACTTGTGTTGTCGGTATTGAATTATTTTTCTTCAGCTTGATAAATTTTTAAGGAAAATAACTTGTGTTGCCATTATCGGTTTGATTTTCATTCTTTGTCGAATGGGTCGAAAAAATAATTTATTTTGCTATTTTTGACTTAATTTTCATCCATTGATAAATTTATGAAAATGATATGTGTTGTCGTTGTTGATCTATTTTCATCAAGAATTTTGTGAATCCTAAATTGTGTTGTCTTTGACCTATTTTCATCATCGATGATTCTTAAAAAACCTAATTTGTGTTATCTTTGAC